CAGTCAGGTCATTTCAATCAAGATATGTCTATGTATGTATGCCAATAAAGCTCCAGTTAGTTTTTAAAATTTTACTTGGACAAAAAGCAAATCAGAAGATTGTGACATCTATGAGTTATGTAAATTGAAACCTAAAGCATTGAGCTGTTTATTGATAAAGTTATTTATAAATAAAAATCAAAACAAATAATACAATTTTAACACATACATCAATTCAGTTTATACATTTAATTTAAAATAAATATTGTTATAATGATAGATTATTGAAAATATCTTACTCGAATATAATTATGGCCTTTATGACCATTTATTTCTTCAAGACCAGCCATTACAAAATCTACAACCTGTAATTGATGAGAAATTCAAAATCAAAATGTGTGTTAATATTGCTTTGAAACATTGCTGGTAACATTTTGGGACACAATAAATAAAGAATGTCCAAACCTTCCAGACTTCATCCACTGGTATATAACACCAAATTGCCTTTCTGTACTGACAGCAAAGTTAGATGTATTGATATTTGAATGTCTTACATTTTTATTGCATTCTTCTAGCATTGTTACTTTATGATTTTTTGCTAACTCCACTCTCATACATTTCACCAATGGTTTAATAGTTATACCCTGTAAATAGAACATAGTGAAACCATTATAAGCTTGTCCATGTTAAAGTATGATGGCCACTAGTCAGCCATATTTTATCAAATAAAAAGACAAACTTACAGTGCATACTATACAGTGTGTACGTATGATGTACATTATGTGTTGCATTTGTTCAAAGTTTAGAGGAAATCTGTCAATGCATGGCCAAGATGTATGTATGTACAGATGAGGAAGGATCCATGCACATGCAGAACCTATATTAATAGTTGTTGTTCTTTGATTTTGTCTGAACCCAAGCTCTGGGGTATGTATCAAGCATTTCTACCATTCTGGACCCAGATCTCAGTCATATAATATATATAGGGACCATAATATTATTTCACATCAAATTCAAAATGGCCCAATGCAAATGATCACAACCATACGTTACAACTAAACACCATGTCATTTTATCTCTATATAAAAAATGACCCAAAAGTTCTTATTCATATACAGATATGCTTTACCTGTACAAATACTGTAAATATGATTACGGCCAATGTTGTTGTCACCATTAAATTCTTTAAGGGTATCTTCTGCTCATCTAAAAGAATAACAAGTGAGAAACACACAGCTCCACGAAGTCCTCCATACGCCTTGTAAATAAAAAATATATTATAAATGAAATTATTAAAACTGCTTCCAGAATGTTTTATGTTAAAACATGAAGTGACTTGAAATCACTTGGGTCTTTGCGAAATGATACACCATGACTGTATTTTTCATGTTACTGTTTGCTGAATGTTTACCTTCCACTGTAATACAATGAAAGTGGAGGGGCATCTTGGCTGCCTTTACTAATTGTCTTTCATATATGTGCTGCTTGTACAAAGCACAAAACAAGAGCTGATATGGTATAATTATTCAACAATTTATTAGCATTGCATTAGTGGCTGATTACAGTCGAACTTGGTATTCGTATCACACATTTGGGGAGATACTGAAGCACTTTGTTTTGATTTGCATTTTTTATGAATATTTTTGTGATTTTGCAATATATCATGAGAAAGGGGGAGAGTTCTATACACTACGTACTGGATGGGTTTACAATAACATAGAATTGCAATTTGTACTCATCAACAACAGCAAATAACTTAAGGCTATTTGAGAGCATTTACTATAAAGAAGTGTACTAACTGTTAACTAATGCATAGCTGTATTCTCACCATGATGAACTGTTCAACCAAATCAATAATTCGAATCTGTTCTATTTTGTTTACAAAGAATGTCAACACCAAGACAACTGAAACAAAAAATATTATCAGCAATATAACAATTGATAATTTTGTCAGCATTACACTAGACTTTAGAAAAAGGTTTTCTGATCAATGGCATTACAAACACTGTTGAACACATTGCCTGTGATTGATAGTAAACAATGTGATAATGAAATGAATCACAGACAACAAAGTGGCCAGCAGTCAACTACCTTTAATTTGATATGCAAAACAGTTCTGGCATAATAGAAATACTTGATTCTGATGAATTTTTAGCACTAAGATGGAATTGGATTGTGAAATGAATACATGCGCATGACATTGTGTAATAGGTGTGTGAAATAACAAAATAAATGGTAATAATGAAATGTGATATGGCATGGCATTTGCATTCGGCTATTTTAAATCTGATGTGAAAAAACATTATGATCCTGTTATATATTATATGACCAAGATCTGGTTCCAAAGTGGTAGAAATGCTTGATTTTGGATGTATGTTTAATATTAAAATGGTGACCAGTCATCCATTTTGAATCAGATCATAAAACAAATTAATGTGCATATGTGTGAAATGATGTACCGGTATCTATCAAGTTTGATTGATCAAGACATCTCAAAGGTATAACAAAATGTCTCACAGTCAGCAGTTTTAAACCAAGTCTGAAAATCGAAATGACATGCATCAAGGTCCCATAATTTCCAATCCATGTACCAAGTTTGGACAAAATCCATCAATACACAACCAAAATCTGGAATAAATTTTTAACATTAAAATGGTCACCATTCGGCCATCTTGAATCAGATCAGGAAACAAATTGATATGCATACATCTCCCAAGATGTATGATGCACGTGTGAATTTTGAATGTGATTGGCTCAGACCTGTAGGGATGAACTGACACACATAACATAAGTCAACACTTCATTACATTTACAGAAAAAGTAAAAATATTACAGTACATTAAGATACTTGCCTATAAATCTGAATAATAAACAGAAACCTATTGTTAGAAAGACAAATCCACTGTTCCAGACATGCTCAGACGACCATAAAACAAGGCCCAGAAACATGAATATAACTGATTCAGAAGTGGCTCTGAAACAAGAATAAGAAAAATTTGTCTATGACAATAAAAACAAAAACAAATAATATGTCACTGAAATTGGGTCAGAAAATGTAAACTAACAGGTTATACCAGTAATATATTAAATTAATTTCTTGTCTCATCAGGGAGCCATTATTTCACTCAAATTTTAATTAAGGAACTTTAATCAAATAAAGTGGCATACTATTTATTTTATCTATTCATTATTACTTTGTAATAATCTCATTTTTATTTCAATTATTACTATAATGGCAAGGAAATATATTTTTAGAGTATTAGAGAAATACTTACGCTAACATTTTCATAAAATATTTGACAGTTGTATGTGATTTGTGTGATATATTGGCAAAACTATAATTGGCTTGAGTTAATCCACATGTTATTATACTATAAACAAACAAATAGTAATAATAATAAATAGTGTATGCATATAAAGAAATAAAGTGTTCAAATTCTAGACTGCAGTCAAAGTTCAAATTCTAGTCTGCAGTCAAAGTTCAAATTCTAGACTGTGGTCAAAGTTCAAGTTTTGGACTGCAGTGAAAGTTCAAATTCTAGACTGCAGTCAAAGTTCAAATTCTAGACTGCAGTCAAAGTTCAAATTCTAGACTGTAGTCAAAGTTCAAATTCTAAACTGCAGTCAAAGTTCAAGTTCTAGACTGCAGTCAAAGTTCAAATTCTAGACTGCAGTCAAAGTTCAAATTCTAGACTGCAGTTAAGGTTCAAATTCTAGATTGCAGTCAAAGTTGACGTTTTGGACTGCAGTGAAAGTTCAAATTCTAGACTACGGTCAAAGTTCAAATTAAAGACTAGTCAAAGTTCAAATTCTAGACTGCAGTCAAAGTTCAAATTCTAGACTGTAGTCAAAGTTCAAATTCTAGACTGCAGTCAAAGTTCAAATTCTAGACTGCAGTCAAAGTTCAAATTCTAGACTGTAGTCAAAATTCAAAATCTAGACTGCAGTCAAAGTTCAAATTCTAGACTGCAGTCAAAGTTCAAATTTTGGACTACAGTCAATGTTCAAATTTTGGACTGCAGTCAAAGTTTAAATTCTAGACTGCAGTTAAAGTTCAAATACTAGACTGCAGTCAAAGTTCAAATTTTAGACTGAGTCAAAGTTCAAAATCTAGACTGCAGTCAAAGTTCAAATTCTAAATTGCAGTCAAAATTCAAATTCTAGACTGCAGTTAAAGTTCAAATTCTAGACTGCAGTCAAAGTTCAAATTCTAGACTGCAGTCAAAGTTCAAATTTTGGACTGCAGTCAATGTTCAAATTTTGGACTGCAGTCAAAGTTCAAATTCTAGACTGCAGTCAAAGTTCAAATTTTGGACTACAGTCAATGTTCAAATTTTGGACTGCAGTCAAAGTTTAAATTCTA